AGGGCGGCGCCGCCCGGGCTGAGGGAGAGGCCGCGGGCGGGGGGAGGGCGCGGTAAAACTCTGGGCGCCGCCGCTGCCCTCCACAGCCGGCCGAAGACTTTCCTCGACTCCTCTTGTGAGGTCGTTGCTGCCAGCTCGGCTCAGCTCAGCGCCCTTCCCCTCCCCGTGGCTCCGGGTTGGTGTTTCTGAAAGAAACGCGTGGGACCGCCGGGGTACAGAGGGTCCCCGCGTTCAGCAGAGGGGGAGGAAAAAGAGTTCAGTGTCAGACTTGTTTGCCTCCGGAGCTAAGCGGTACCCGCTTGGGCAGCTCCCTCCGCGGGTCGCGGTGCAGCCGCGCAGGGAACAGCCTCCCATAGCTTCTTGTAGCGAGCTCTGCCTGGCTCAGCAGGTACCCCTGAGCGCGGTATGTTAGTTCACTTAATCGCGTCCCTGTTTGTTTTCTCCATGTTCCTTAAGTATCACACATTGTGCTACATATACGCTAGCCAATTTTTTTTCCCGACTTTTAGATTTCTTTTACCGTGTATCGTATCTCTTCAATAAGATCAGCAAAAATTAATATATAATATATGACTAATGATAATGTGTGAAAAAAGATTGTTTCAAGCTGTATGGACTGGCCTCTATTTTTGGCAAAGAGAGGATCTGATTTCCTTTGGGCAGTATCGACCAGCTTTAACTGTTGCAGTGCCTTTTTTCTTCTGGTATCCATGGCTGTACACTCTCCAAGTTCTGAACAGCTAAATCATGATTCTCTGAATAGTCTGCTTCGCTACAGTCCTTGTTCCTATAGCAGCTCATTCTCTACAGGAAAAAAAAAATGGTGAGCTTATGGAAAAAGTACAGTCAATCTTAGTTCAGCATTTCCTAGCTTGCTTAAAATATTTTTTCCTTTGTATGTGCCATTTTCTAGATATCCCTTTTAAGGAATTTGAAAAAAACAAATTCTATTGCACTGAAATCCATGTGGGTCATAAAGCACGTGTAGGTCCACTGCATGGCACTTGGGCTATGGAGTGACTGATAAGAGTGAGAATTTGTCCTTCTTTAGACCAGCTCTAAAAGACATTTTCTTACAGTCAGGACACTTACAGTCAAGGACTCAGATTTCCTGTACTTTCTTCCACCATCTAGAGGGGATTGTGTTTTTGTAGGCGCAGACTTCTCCCTTTCTTTCCCAAGTGTAATTCCAGCTACATAATCATCAACAACTTATTTATGATTCACTGCTGGTGTTACCTCCCAAATCACTAGGGCTTGCTTGTCCATTAAAAGTCTTACTTTACATTTCTCATCCTAGCTTTCTCATCTCCAGGCTTTCTCAGTTTGTCCCAACTTTCATTGCTGTCCACATTTTTCACTCTCATCCACTTTTCACTGTCATTACTTGTCCAGCCAATGCCATTTACATTCCAGATTCTTCCTCTGATCTCTTTCCCTTCGTTACCCTTGGATAGCATCTCAGTCCTCATCTCCCTCTCATAATTCCACATCCTAATTTATTCACAGTTTTCTGATATATTTGAGTTTATATTCCAGTTGTGTTGATCTGTCCCATTTCTGTTCTTCACACAGCAGATCCATTTCCCTTTTCTCGTATCTGTTCATCCCAAGCCACTGTTTTGTGGCATGATTAACTGGCTCTTACCTTCTCCTAGTTCTCACCTCCCAATATCAACTCCTAGTCTCTAGTTTCTTAACTTATACAGTCCTAATCTGTTTTCCTTCATGATAAAGTTTTGTTGCCTATCCAGTGCTAGTTACAGCTTCTACCTCTGCTCTTCCTTGTGCCCTACATTTACCTGAACTCCTTATTTCAAACTTTCTTTTTCTCTCCTCTGCACCTGTGTTGGAAAGTTCTGTTTTCTGTGCTGCCTGCCAGGCCAGTCAGTGTGAACTCAGCAGATTCCTTGCTCTTAGTTGCAGGACTGAGTGGGGAGTGGGGAAGGTCCAATTTTATGCCTGTAGCTCTGAGGTGGAGAGTTGACCCTACTTAGTGGCTTGATGGAAAGGAAACACATAGTACAGTGTGCATTGGGTACGTGGAATTCTCACAAGGTGAATTATTAATGGTTTCTTCAGAACATTTACGAATTGCGTAAATTACGAATTACGATTTTTTCAGGTTTTTTAACTCATTAAACATTGAGTGATTAAGTAGATTGAAATAGTTCTGAACATAATCATAGCAATGTATTTTTTCTATAACTGCTTTTAGAAAGAGTTTTGGCCATTTTGGTGTAAAATAGAAAAAGAGACAGAGCATGAAAAATTTCAGCCTAAGCAGTTCGGTCTTGCTGTAAATACTGGATCTAGGCTCTAGTGGGCAGCATAGTGGTAAATGATGAAGGCTTGCATGTAATAAGGCACACTGGTATTTAGGCATCTTGAGACAAAGGTCACTCACTGTCCAGTGTTTGTCCTCCACAGCCAACAACAAAACTCTTCATTGATGGGAAATTTGTTGAGTCCAAAACCACTGAATGGATTGATATCCACAACCCGGTAAGTGAAATGGTCTTAGCTTATATATTGATAATCACTGTGCAACAAAGGTCTGTGCCTCTGTTCAAGCATTTGGCAAAAGGGAAAAGTACATATATTTCTTGAGAAAGGTTTAGACTTGGAGCTTAAGATGACTTTAGAACTGTGTAATTGTTTCTCCATTTCCTTTTTATGTGAAATGTCAGTTTTAGGAAAGTGATGACCTCCTTTATCTCCTGTGTAGTAAAACCCTGATCTCTGGAAAGGAAGGTTAAACTCTGCTTGATCATAGAAAGGTTCTGTGATCAGTATGTCAGATTTCTGAAGGGTTTCTTTCACCCAGTAGGTGAAATCAGCTGGGTGTGATTTGATGCCAGCTGAATGTGAAGTCCTGGTAGAGACTAATTTCACTCTCAGACCAAGGTAGAAAATCCTGATAGCTAAAGCTCCTCTTCTTCCAGAGACCTTTTATTTGTGAGCCACAATATTCACAGTGAATTTAGAGGTTGGATGCTATGCAGTGCAAAATAACAGATTAGTAGCACTTGTCTGAGTTCTCCACCAAAGACAAATGGATATAAGATTCACTCAGAGTTTTGACCCTTCTGACTCCCCTAGAAGGTATTTGGTCAGCAGTTTCTAAAACTCTTCTCTGTAAAGCCTCATTCTGATTTACTTTGTGGAAGTGATCAGAACAGCAAGCCATGTTCACGGAAGTTTATTTGGTCCCTAACGTGGCAATCAATGTTCTTGTTTAATTTTCTTGTTTTGAGTAGTTTCTCAGTGATGTATCTGATGGTTTTGTCTTGTCAAAGCAGACTCAGTATCTAGAAGTGCATTAGAAGAAGGTTAAACTGGCAAAGACAAGCTTTTAAAGTTAAAATACTGTAGAACTAAGGTTGCTTGTAAAAATGTTGGTAATGTGGTCTAGGTAAACTAACATCAGTGTCAATTTCACAGTCATGTACTTCCAAAGGAACCTTGCCTCATTTAATGCACAAGAGGGACAGCAGATGAGTAAAGATAGTGCAGAGGGAAAAGACCACAGGCCACAGAAGCCTTTGCCTTATATGCTCTAAAGCTTCAAGATAGGCAAGTCTAACTCCAGCTTGGAAATCGGCACTTGCAGCCTTCTAGGTGCCTAATATGAGCTGCGTAGATTGGAGGTTTTTGGAACTTCCAGTTGTAGCCCAGACCTTTTGTGTGCACTAAGGAGGGAGATTCTTTTGTGCTCTCCCCTCAGAAGTACAGCTCCTTGTAGAACAAGGATATTAGGTATGTGGTGTGAAAGGACCATTGAACAGTTGGCAGGGACAGATGGAAAAGGTTGAGTTTTGATACAGTTTGGTTTTTTTCCTTCAGGCCACAAATGAAGTGGTTGGCCGCGTACCAAAAGCCACAGCCAGTGAGATGGAGGCAGCTGTGGCTTCTTGCAAAAAGGCTTTTTGGAACTGGTCAGAAACATCTGTTTTGAGTCGCCAGCAAATCTTCCTGCGTTATCAACAACTCATCAAAGACAATCTGGTGAGACACCATGGCTGTGTGTGATGGCTGTTGCTGAATGCACTGCAGTTGACTTTAGGAATTTAACTGCGAGACTCCGAGTTTACAGAGTTCTTGATGAGGTGTTGTTTGAGGAGCCAACTGAGACACTGTCATGAAGAGGTGTAGCAAAGCACTCTTCATCAAATGGGGATGGAGAGGCAATGCTTCTTAGGGAAATTTATTCTGCATTTCTCCCTTTACCAAAAGACCACAAGAGGAACTTTCAGCTTTGATGAGAATGTGCCAGTTGCTAAAGACAAGTGGGAGAAGAATGTTACTATGTCTTTGGATTTCCTTGATTGCTTTTTTGCTGTGTCTGTGGTGTGACACCTGAAAGGTGTAGAGTACAAGCCAACCCATGGTTGTTTTTTCTAAAATGTCACCTGTGCAGATTATTGGCTTCTTGTCTACAAGGAGCAAATCAGACAGTGTAGGCTTTTCCAGGTTCTGCTCAGTCTGTTCATTGTAATGTTCAACTCTCTGTTAAACTATCTTATCCCTGCACCCTATTTCATGGGCAGGCACTTTTCTAATGTTCATAAACTTCGTGTTTTCCATTTTCAGAAAGAAATTTCAAAACTCATCACCTTTGAGCAAGGGAAGACCCTGGCTGATGCTGAGGGAGATGTGTTCCGAGGCCTCCGTAAGCTTCTAGCTCCTCCTATTAAAAAAGGGGGTTTGAGAACCCATAGGAAGGGAGGAAGTCTCCTGAGTAACTGATTGCTCTGGGAGTCTGTACATGTAGGTCCCTTCATAACCTCCTACTGAAAAAAAGGGGCAATTGTAACTCTAACCTGAAAAGTTTCTTAGAGTTTCTTTAAATCTCTCCCAAGTTGTTAGATCCTTCCTTTTCCTAGGAGTGACTACAAATTGCTGTAAAGGGATAAGAACTTTTCACTTGTGCTCAGATGTCTAAGGTCGAGTCCCAGGTGGTACAATAATACTATACCTGTGCTGCTTTTACTGGGGCTGTTGTGTCTGTGCTCCTATCACAGTGACATCTAACATTCTCGAGAGAATCCATTCACAATGAGCTCACGGTGCTTGGCAGAGCAAAGGGGTTTTCTGGAGCACAGTGAGTTGTAAGCTGTGGGAAAAGAGGCTGGAAGACAAACATGGGTCAAGGCAGTGGTGAAAAGGGAGTTCGGGGACTAATTGTTAACAGATCATCCAGTGGCGTATTGCCCTTTCTGCTGCAGAGGTGGTTGAACATGCTTGCAGTGTGACATCCCTCATACTGGGAGAGACCATGCCCTCCATCACTAAAGACATGGACACTTACACCTACCGTCTGCCCCTGGGCGTGTGTGCTGGAATCGCACCGTTTAACTTCCCAGCCATGATTCCTCTTTGGATGTTCCCCATGGCTATGGTTTGTGGAAACACCTTCTTGATGAAACCATCTGAGCGTGTACCAGGAGCACTCATGTTCCTTGCCAAGTTGTTTCAGGATGCTGGTGCCCCCGATGGGACCCTGAATATCATCCATGGACAGCATGAAGGTAATAATAGCTGTTCTTATAGATGGCTGGAGTGTGGAAGTGTTGTGGTGTATGTTCAGTGGAGATACTGTTTGGAGAGTCTGATGCTGCTGTTAGATAGGTTAGGACAGTTGCTTCAGCCCTCCTGATGGAGGTGAGGGGAGGTGACTGGGAGATCTCTGCCATCTTACACCATATCTTTCAGGACAAAATTTGGGGGGCTGGGGTGAGAGTTCTCAAGGCATTTAAGTGCTCAAATTCTATTTAGTGACCTAAGCTCCAACTGATATAAGAAGATAAATCATCCTGGTTTCTCAAGGAAGCCTAAAGAATTAAGTGCCTCACTGAATATACAGTGGATGCCAGTATTCTAGCTCCTAACATGGTATTTTTTACAGCACACAAGCAGCTTCAGAACATGAGGATACAAATAGCCAACAGTAACTTGGCTTCGGCATCACTCAGACTCCTTGGGAGATGCCCAAAGCTTGAAGAGATAGCAGAGAGCCAAGTGTGAGGACTGAAGCAGGAGTACCTGTGCCAAGAAATTAGCAAAGAGATGCACAGACAGGCAGTGGGGGAACTCGGATGTAGGGAACAGAGAGGCAAAAATTTCAGTAAGAAGAAAGATATATAGATTTAGCACTGTGGGGATGGGAGCAGAGGGAAGCATTTGTGCACCACAGTTATAATGTATTATTTCCTATTTGAAGCTGTGAATTTCATTTGTGACCATCCGGATATCAGAGCAATCAGCTTTGTGGGATCTAATCAGGCTGGCGAGTACATCTATGAGAGAGGATCCCGGAATGGCAAGAGAGTCCAGGCCAACATGGTAATGCCTCTGAATGGAGCACGCTTCAGCACATAGACTGCCTCTGTCTCCTGTCAATGTTAGAGACCACGTCGCTCAGCAGCAGAAGCAGACTTTGCTACTGGTAGTTATGTGATGAGGCTGCCTTTCTTGCCAGCCTGTTGGTAGC